GCTTGGAAATTTGTACTTTTTTTTCTTTTCAGTTTAAGGTTTATCTTTACGAGTACTATGTTTGCCATTGTAGTCAAATGGATAAGCTGTGGGAAATACAGTCTGTTGTGCTTTGTGGCTAGACTACGAATCTGCCCAGGGGATCGCTGCTGAACGGAACAGGGAATGATTGATGCTTAGGCTGTCATTGTTGAACTGCTGGTCAGGCTTTGGAAGGGTGTCCTATAAATCCTGTTTTATTGGGTTCTTGTCATACACAAATTTTCCCTTTATTTTATTTATTAAACAGTTTGTTACATGGAGGACTCTTGCATATTTTACAGAGATTTTTGCAAAACTTGGGAGCTTGTGACTGACTCTTCTCTTAATGCCTTTTGGAGTTTGGCAGCAAGAAACAGCCCTGCATGCTGCAAGGATGCATAGTGGTTTTCATTTTTGGAAAGTGTGTTCTTTCCTTTTGTTTCTAATCAGTAATTACAGCCCCCTAATGGCACCTCTGGAGCAGATGCAGAAGTCATAGATGAGGGAGGAGGAATTGGGTGGACATGCAGGCTTCACAGCACTGGCTGCTTTTGACAATAGCCCTGGGGCTAATGCAGTTGCCACTGGAAGCAATTGATTCCTGTCCCCAGCCTCCCCAGTCCCTGTATGTGCTTCCATTTAATCGTTACATTGGGGGCTGCTTCTCTTTTAACCTTTTTTGTTAAAACTTGCTTCTGGGCTAACAAGCTTTGTGAGTCATAGAATGATGTTACCAGCTCAGTGCCCCTTCATATTTGTCCTTTGGTATTTGTTTTGATGGCACAGACGCAAAAGAGGAGAAAACTCCTGATGGTTAATGTGAGTCAAGGTGTTAACAGGGCAGACCCAGCAAATCTGCCCACTCTAAATAGATTCTGCCATCCGCTACATCAACACAAAACATCTGAGTCTTTAATGAAAAGGAACTTTAATACAATTAGCAGACAATACAGGAAAGGCAAAGAATATAGTTTCTAAATGAAGCACCCAAAGTTACCCGTCCCCTCGTGGGTAAAAGTCCACCCAAGCAGGATTGGCCCAGAGCAAGGCCGAAAGCCTGCAACAAGTCCAAAGCACCTTCCAGTGGAGAACCACAGAAAAGGATCAGAAACAACCAGACAAGTCTGGAGGGAAAAGCGCAAAATCAAAATCAAGATAAAAGCTGCCATTGTCACCTCCCCATGGGTCTCTCACCCACATCTGTGTCACCCTGTCCACAACCAAAAGGCAAGCGCAGTTTCTTCATGTGTCTCTCTGCTCCATGTGCCTCCCCCAGGTCTCCTTCTGGCTCCATCCTGCTTCCTTCCTTCCTCAGTCTCCTCTGCAGCTGCTTCTCTCCCTGCTCAGCTCCACCCTCCCTTGGGTGGGGCAGGAAACCTGGAACCTCCCCCTTTCCTGGGGACCACCCTGTTACAAAAGCAGTGGCACCAAACTGGACTGATACTGCATTTCTCACCTCTGTGCACTCGATTTCAAAAGAGAGTGCCAGTTTTGCACATAAGAATGTCGTATTATAGCAATAACATTTATTAAAATCTTGACACTTGAGGTATCTCTTTAATACACTGCATGATGAAATGGGAAGGCACATGAAGCACTTTTGTATCCCCCAATACAAAGATTGGTTATCTCAAGGAAAGATACTGTATACAGTGGAGTTGTGTTCCAAAGATAGGATGATACTGCAATTTTCAAATTGACTATTGCTGGGGATAGTATTGCTGATGTAGGATTGAAACTATTGAGTGGGTAGATCAAGTGAATGTGTATATAAGAAATATTGGAGTTGGGGTTTTCCTTGTCGGGGGTACTGAAGGTACTAATGTGGGATTGAGGGAGGTGAGGAGGAATCCTCCATGGAGGGTTCAAATTTAAGGTGTTGCTCTGAACTTGGGATTCAGGATACTTAAAATATCCTCGCTCTGTTGGTCAGAGAGCCTAGAAGCAATGATACTTGACTGGCAAGCAGCACACAGAGCTCTCAGATCTTGCGCCTTCCTGGACCTGTTGGAGAAATGGCTGCTGCCAGTTCTGGAGCAGGTGAAGGACAAGATAGCTCGGTAGGCTGCTTGTGCCAGAAAGGTTGTTGAGCTAAAAGGGTCGTATCAAAAGGACACAGAAGCAGATTTAGAGGAACTTTCTTTGGCCAATAAATCTGGGACAATTAGAGCATCAGAAGGAATGACAGTAATGGTTTATGACTCATTGAATTAAAGAAAAAAAAACCCATGTATTTACATGAGGCAGTGGGGAGCAGGGACAGGGAGGGAATATTACATTACAGAATGCCAGCTAGTGTATGAAGTAGGAATAGAATTTGAAAATCATCATTGTAACCCCTAATGTGTTAATTGATCTGGGCAAACATTATCAAAGGATACTGAGATTATTGAGTGAAATGTTACCGTGGAGAAGGATATTCACAGTGTCAAATATCACCCCATTATTATTAAGTACCAAGGGTAATAGATATTTCTGATAGTTAGACATCTGGCATATCCTTGTTTACCAAACAGCATCACCACTACAAGAGAAAGCAATACTACCTACAAAGGAGTCTCGTCAGAAAGGAAGCAGACTTGATTTTGGCCAAGCCTCTAGTTTCAACTACCAAATTACAGGAAATCCAAAAGCATCTGCTAAACACCATCTTGGGGCTGCAAACTCTAAGTCAAATGACCCAGTTTTTTGAAAATAAGTTGCAGGGAAAATATCAGGAATTGAGATACAGAACTGAGAGACCTCTGTGTATGGGCCTTTATTAGGTCATGATGTAAACAGTTTAAAAATGTGAGGCAATAGAACTGTGAACACAGACTATATTTGCTTATAAAGTGTGAAATGGTGCTGTGTTTATAAGTAATTTAAAATAAATTTGGAAGGAGGGCAGGTGGGTAGGGGTACAGATGACACAAGAGTAACTATGCGCAGATGCTTGCTAAGGAGTCACTATATGTGTCCATTGTACTATTTCATCTATCTTTGAATATGTTCGGAAGTTCTTATATTTTAAAACACACTAGTACTTAATAGGAGATACTCTGACATTTTGTGTTTTTAATTTATATACAATGCTTTGCAAAGTATATGTTGCCTGTGTAGAATTGTTGCCAGAAATTGTGTATAAATTATGTCCATTGGAAACAATCCAATAAACTCAGTATGTGTGGCATTCTATAGACAGTTGTCTTGGGCTGTGTAAAAAAATGTCAGTGTTAAGAAAAGCAACAAAAATGTCATAAGAATCAAATACAATGTGTGATCCTTATTACCCTCCCCCAAATTATGAAAGACATTTTGTGGAAAGAGGCACGCTTTTTTTTTCAATTACCATTTTAAGAAAATTTTTAAAGATTTTTATTTATGCATACAAGAACTGGGGTGTAGACCAGAGTTGCAGGGAGGTGAAAGGATTCACTAGAGACAGTGTGGGAAACAGAACAGGCAGATCTACTGAAATAACACTGCTGAGGGGAGCAGCAGGCGAGACAGGAGAGGTCTGCTGCACCATGTGGGTTTAGCTCCTGGTTGGGGATCCAACTCAGGTCACAGGAGCTAGCAATAGCTTGATTGCACTGAGACTTTAACCCCTGCGCCCCCAGGGAGGCCCAGTGGCAGACATTTAAAGATGGTGTCAGTTTTATAGAATTGATTTTGTTATTTTAGGTATAATTATTTTTTTGATGTTCTGTAGGAAGATGTCCATATTCTTGGGAGAAAAATGCTGAAGTATTTTAGGATGCATTGGTATTATGTTTGCAAATTACTTGAAACATACATGGATTAGGTTGGCGCATACTAAATTGCTGGTTTTCTAGTCAGACAGTCAAATGTCAGCAGATGTATCTTGTTCAAACCAATATTTGTTAAGAGACAGCAAATGTGGTAACAGGTCATGGCTCCGGAGGAAGAATATATGGCTGTTTATACTACTCTTTCAGCTATCTATGTGCTTAAACTTTTTCAAAAAGAGGTGGGAACAAATTGGCTAGTCAGTATACAAAGTGGACTCAGCAGATAGTATTTGTAACTTCCATGTGTTGACAGTGTTCTCTCTAGGAATAATTGTCCAACAGCATTTTTTTTTTTTTTTTTTTTTTTTTTATAGAGGCATGCTTTATTTATTTGTTTTTGCTGGTTTGTTTGTTTGTTTTTTGTTTATACATGCACTGGGTACAGTCAGAAGTGTGGGAGGGTGAGAGAATTCACCAGAGCCAGAGTGGGGAGCAGAGCAGGCAGAAGGACTGAAGTACACTGCTGAGGGGAGCAGCGGGCGGCAGGAGAGGTCTGCGCACCTTGTGGGACCCTCGCCGGCGGCCGGGGAGCAGCAAGGGATCGAACCGGCGCCACAGAGGCCGCGGGCAGCTTCGCAACCCAGCGCTCAACCGCTGCGCCACCGGGGAGGCCCCTGTCCAACAGCATTTAAACTCCCTTGAAGTTAATTCCAAAATTACTTAAATTGACTCAGGTTATGAAAAAGAAAACTACTTATTTCCCTGTATGAATTTTCATATCTCTGAATCACTGACAAAACACAGAAACAGGAAAAAACTGTAGGTGGAAATTAAGAGGAGCTACGTAATACCTCATGGATTTTTTTTTAAAGACGTGGATAACATTGAAAGATAAATCCTCTGTAAGTGAAAAATAGAGAACTCATTGTTTTCTTGGAAACCAACATCTCTTTTCTTTCTTTTTGTCAAGAGATCAAAAATGTCTTACATCTAGCTACAGCGGTGACATTCGCTGGAAGATAGGCTACAAGCCTAGAATTTGAGAGAGAAAAGTCTTCTCCTCCCCGCCTGCCCATGTTGCTGTGAGGGATCAGCTGCAGCACATGTTACTCCGGGTCCCTGGGGTGTGCCGGGCAGCCTCGACCGATGGATGGAGTTTGAGATGGTCGTTCCTACTGCCCTGTAGAAAATTTTCCTCAGTGGTGAGAGCAATAGTTATATACTTCTTCTTTTCTGCATCCCAAGCAGATCCCCAAAGAAGTAGCTGACATCTTTAACGCCCCCAGTGATGATGAAGACTTCCTTGGTTTTCATGACGATGTTCCCATGGAAACCCTGTCATCAGAGGAGAGCTGTGATAGTTTCGACTCGCTGGAGCCCGGGAAACAGGTACCGCAGCTCTGGCTTCGAGGCAGGCTGTGTCTGGAAGCCGGAACCTTGGTTAGATATGCTTTCTTTTGGCTGTGCTTTGAGGTTGGTGATAGCAATTGTTGCATATTTTTGTTTTCTAAGTGTTTTAATACCTTCACAGTTCCAGACTCTGGTGCTGGAACTTGGCCTCACTTTTGCTGCTTAAATGCTTTCTATGTAATTGATTGTTTGTTTTTTTAAATAAAGGGGACTTCACGTGATTAAATCCATTTTCTTCCACCTTGGAGCTGCAGCCCTGTATTCAGAGCGCTGCCACGCTGCTGGCCGTGAGGGCGAGCCCCGCACAGGGAGAGCCCAGAGCATAGGCAGGAGCTTGTGGTTGCCCCGAGACAGCTGCGTGAGTGTGGCTCTGGGGGCACCTTGCTCTTGGAACTGCATTGTTCTTTCCTTAATGGCTTAGATCTGTGCAGACACAAGTTACCGTTCTCTGAGAGACTCCTGGAGATTGATATTGTGCCTCAGCAATAGAATGGCCAATCAACATAGCTAGTTTTCTGTGGCCTCATCATGACACTGAAAATTCTTCATTCTCCTTTGACCGTGGACTCTCTTAAAAGACTGTAAATCCCATCTTGCTTCGATTGTACAAGTATAAGGGAAGCAGTTATTTTTATATAGACATACGAAGGATCTGCTTACTCAGCTGACTTGTGTATAATCTGGGGGGATGTGCTGTTGAGGTCATTGGAGGCCTCCCCATCTCTGTGATCCTCCCCTGATGTCAGCAGAGCATCTGACCCCTATAGCCACTTCCACTCTCTGGTTTTTTCCTATTACATCTTTATTGTGTTGAAACACAACATTGTTTATTGTCACCTCATCTTTCTCCTGCCCCCCATGTAGGTGTTCTCCAAGTTTTGTCTCCGGACCTTTTTTTGCTTAGTGATCTCCATGATAGCTTGGCTTCAGCGGTTCACCTCCAGGTTTTTTTTTTTTTTAAAAAAAGGTTTATTTATGCATATAAGAGCTGGGGTACAGGCCAGAGATGTGGGGGATGGGGGGGTGAGAGGATTCACCAGAGACCGTGTGGGGAACAGAACAGGCAGACTGACTGAAATACACTGCTGAGGGGAGCAGCGGGCAAGACAGGAGAGGTCTGCTGCGCCATGTGGGTTGCTCCCTGGTCGGCCAGCATTGAGCTCCTGCTGCAGAGGCTGTGGATTGCTTCTAGTGTGGTGCTTAACCCCTTGCGCCACCAGGGAGGCGTCGCCTCCAGATTCTTGCAGCCTCAGATTTATTTCGCTAGGCCAGTTGGACCAGTCAAGGGTTGGACCAGTTCAAGGGTTATCTGAGACTGCCATCTCCCTTCCCCTGCTTGTCTCGCTGGCTTTCCCATTTTATCTCCTCCTTTCCTCTTCCTGCTCCTCTTCTCCCATCTCCCTGACTCTTCCAGGAGTTGATGAAACCTATGCCATGTTCCTCGCCTCCACCCCTCCCTCTCTCTTCACCCCTCTCGCAAGGTCCTCGTAGCCTTTATACGAATGTTCGTCCCTTTACTTCCCACTGTGGTCCCAGTCTGTCTAGCACCCCCTGCTCCCATTCCGCAGCTGCCTGTCCCCATTCCCAAGTGGCCAGGCAGTGATGCAGAGCAGAGCCTGTTGGGTCCACCGGGAAGGGCTTCTGAGCGTGGAGGACCTGTTAGGTGCCGTGCACAAGGCTGGCTTGTAGTTGACATAAGGAAATGAAGCAGCTGGTTTTGCTGCTGTAAGGACTGATTTTATCTTGCAGTTACTTCTCCCCCCAACCCCCCAGTCAGAGCCCAGCCAGTTAGCTGGCCCGTGACTACGTGCTTTTTGGACAAGTCGCTTGTATTTCACATCCCTCCCTGGGAAGCTGTAGGTGCTGTTGTCATTCCCCATTTGACAGGTGATGAACTGACGTTCAGGAGGTGACTTGTCCGAGGCCCACCTCTGAGAAGGCAGCCGAGGTGCTTCTCAGCCTCTGACCTCCCATCATCCTCCCTCCTGCCCACTGTGCTGCATTCGGCCAGGAACTGTGTTGGTCCCCGCGTCACGCACTGTTCTGCCCTCTGCTCTGGGGCAGGCTGCGCTCCTTGTCTGGGCGGCCTCTCGTCATTTTCCTACACTCTACCCCCCCTTCAGATCCACTGTGGACATTCCTTCTTCCATGAAGCCTTCATGGATTTCCTTTCTCCGGATGCTGTACTGCTTAGGTCTCCCTCGTAACACTGATCCTCACGGTGGTGACCTGCCAACCTGTCCAGCTTCCTCTCGTCATAAACCACTGGTGGAAGGGACCTCAAGCTCGAGAGGTGCTTTTCAGCTTCCCGTCTATGACTGCGCTCCTGCACTGTCCCTTTCCTCTCGCTTCAGACATTCAGCCACCAGCCCGCCCATCTTCACTTTCTAGTCAGTTTCTTCATGTCAGAATAAAAACGAAACCATTCTGGTAGCTCCCCTTCTCGAACCTCTTACATGCTCATGTTCTTGGTCATAGAGGTGACTACAGCCCATAGCACGCTGCCTGGATCGATTTGAAAGAATGACAGACAGATTCTGGGTGTCGTAACGAAGGCCATGTAAGCTGGGTGTTTGTTTCATACAGACCCATGTGTTAAAAACAAATTTTTATACTCTGGGGAATAAAGAGAAGGAAAACACTGCCCCAATTTAGTACTGTAGTTAAGTCATTTTTTTTTTTTTTGCCAGCAGAAGCAGTTCTTGTGATTGCTCCTGTGTTGCCCTGTGAGGCCAGCTCAGAGGATAGAGGGAGCCAGAAGGACGGGAAAGTTGAAGCTTGGTGCTCTAAGCCAGCTCTCTTGAGGCCTAGGCAGGGACTGTGGCGTATGATAAAACTCACACAGAGGTCCCATTGCCGTAAAACAGCCTGCGGGCAGCGCAGGGCGCCAGGTGTTTCCTGCTCTGCGCAGTGGCAGGTCAGCGGCGGGTTCCCTGTAGAGAGTGGCTCTTCCTGAGCGGTGCGCCCCGCCCTGCTGCTCCCCGCCCTCCCCCTGCGCGCTGGCGCCTCTCGGCCAGCTGGGAGAAGCTGCCTGAACTCGCACAGGGTATGTGCGGCAGTGCTGCCTTTGGTCTCCCTTAAACACAATTTAAGTTTCTTTAAAGAAAACTTCCCCTTTGTGTGTGCATTATTTTTTTTTTTTTCAAGCAGCTGCACCACAGCTATCAACAAAGGAACAAAGTAATTTAGCTCTGAGCACACTTACTCCACTTACCCATAATTCAGAGGAGACATTTTTAAGCTTAAGAAAATGCTGGATATAGGCGTTTCTTTCTCTTTCCCCCCTTGTAAGTTTTTCCGCTCATCTATTATATCTGTTTTTCTCCAGAGATTATCTGAGCTCTAAGAAGTGTATAATTAAAGTCAAGGAAAGGCAGGGGGAAATAAAGATTCTCCAACCAAATGTGATGCGATGAGGGGTCATTGCTGTATTGGGCGTGGGAGGAAGTGACGTCAAAGGCAATTGGGGACATGGACTCAGCCCCAGTTGCCCGCATGGAGGAGGCTGGGTGTGGGTCTCCTTTCTTTCGCCTCTTCCAGGCATGGAAAAAAGTCATAATTGGAAACTGTCATGAAGAGTCAGTCATGAGGGCCTCCCTGGTGGCCCAGCGGTTGAGCGCTGGGTTGCAAAGCTGCCCACAGCCTCTACAGCACTGGTTCGATCCCCGGCCACCCGGTGAGGGTCCCACATGGCACGCAGACCCCTCCTGCCGCCCGCTCCCTCAGCAGTGTACTTCGGTCCTTCTGCCTGCTCTGCTCCCCGCTCTGGTGAATTCTCCCACCCTCCCACGCTTCTGACTGTACCCAGTGCTTATATAAATAAACAAATAAATAAATAAAAATAAATCTTTAAAAAAAAAAAAAGTCATTCATGAAACATCTTTCCTTCTCTCTCGCTACCTGTCTGGCTGGCTTCTCACGTGCCAGAGAGGAGCTCCTGGGGGTCAGGATTCCAGTGGGCAGGGAGGGCAGAGTGGGAGGTTTCTCTCAGCCCCCTGCAGTGATGGGTCACGGGGCGACTCCAGTGTCTCCAGCAGCGGTCACGGAGGACTGTGGTGGTCTTAGCCCTTTTCCACAAAGACGTACCTTTTGCTAGAGGAAGGCACACTCGGGACTGAGACCTGGAGGAGACCGACTTGGGGTGGCTGTTAGAAGGGAAAGTCAGCATGTGGAGGATGCCACGTTTTCTACTCGCATCTTCCCATGTGTTTCCATTTTGTGTGAAAGCAGACGATGGCCAGCGCTGGCATGAGAAACTGAATTGCATCAGCACTTAGTGATGGAGGCTACAGTCATTCTGACATTTTTTTTAAATAATTTGATTTCTGGGTCCAAATTTCGCTTTAGAAAATGGGAATATATGTGCTGTTTAATGTAAAATACACAGCATGAAATGTACCCTTGTAGCCATTTTTAAATGCAGGCAAGTCCCTAGTTCCTGGCCAGCAGGACGCCAAGTGGCACTGAGTACATTCATGGTGGTTGCAGCCATCAGCAGGGCCCTCTTCCAGAACCCTGACATCACCTCGGACGGCAGCTCTGCCCCCATTAAACGATAACTCCCCACTAGCCCCTACCCCAACCCCTGGTAACCTCCAGTCTTTCTTTTTCTGTGACGTACATATGTTTTTAATTTAGCAGGATATGTGTTTCCACTCCAAATACTTCACAGAAGAACTGAGAAGAATCTTCATAGAGGACACTGACTCAGAGATGGAAGATTTTGAAGGGTTTACACAGAGTGATCTGACTGTCAACAGCAACCCAGAGGTAATGGTAATAATTATCAACATGAAGGAGTGTGGGTTGTAATATTTTTAGTCCTGTTTCTGATTTGTATCTTTACTTGTGACAAATCACTTCACAAATGAAAAGATTTTACTTTGTTTAAACCTTTGTCTTATAAACTAGTTCACAGAATATAAGAGTCATAGCTCTCAGGCGAATCCCTCACCTTCTAGTCTTTGGTTCTTTTAGAGAAAATCCAGGTTTCTCCCCTGGTGCCTTGGGAGCCTTGGGGGGGATGTGTTACAGGTGTACATTATTGTTCTTATCAAAGAGTATCAGATTTTCTTCAGCCACCATGTGAAAAGAGGAGGGCCTATTTGGAGTAGTATGGTTTTTAAAGTCATTTTCTTTCTTTTTTTAAGATTTGTTTGTTTAGCTTGCAAGAACGGGGGTCTAGGCCAAAGGTGTGTGGGTGAGAGGATTCACCAGAGACAGAGCGGGGAGCAGAACAGGTAGATCTATTGAAATACACTGCTGAGGGGAGCAGCGGACAAGACATGAGAGGTCTGCTGCGGCATGTGGGTCAGGTCCCTGGGTGAGGATCAGAGTCGTGCTGCAGCGGCTGGCGTTAGCTTGATAGTGCTGAGACTTAACCCCTGTGCTATGAGGGAGGCCCTTAAAGTCATTTTCTGTTGTGTGTGATGTCATAGTGTTAGGCGTGGAGTTTGACAAAAATTTCCCATGCATTTTTTTAATAGATTTTATTTTAGTCAATTAAAATTTTTGAATATTGGTTTATAACATCATATACCTTTTTTTCCCTGTGCATTCTTGATTTAGGTGCCGACATACTTAATGATACAGTGTTTTATCATTGTAAAGCATTTCCTGGATTCCTGAGGGGAATCCATTCTCAGCACAATGTCATGAAGAGATTTATTCATCTCTTCCTTTATTTCATGTATTAAGTCCACTTTATTTGCCAGTGAGTATTTGAATGCTGGGGTAACTTTAAAGACTAGCCCTTGGAATTTTTTTTTTTTTTTTTAAGTGTACAAGTGTATTATGGTGACTGAAAGATAGCATGCATTTATCCCAGATCAATATACCATTCCTTCTTTGGTATCAGAATAGAATTTCAGCCTCTTAACATTCTGAGAAGCTTCTAAGGAACCACTTCTGGCTTGGAACCTATGTAGAAGTATAAATAGCTGTAACTAGTAGGTTCATTTTGTCTCTCATCTTTTCCTGGGGGGGACTTCGGCCTGAAAACCCTAATGGTAGGCTGCCTTGGTTGATGATGCTTTTTTTTCCATGAATAGCAACACAGAGACCCCAGTGTCCTTTCACTTTCTTTACAGCAACTCTGTGTATGGCAGCTTGTGTGTTCTGGCCCGCACAGCTCTAGTTTCCTGCCAGCAAGATACTAAAATCCTTCCAAACCTTATTGGGTATTGTCTACTCTTTGTGACTTATTTTATATTTTTTAGTGTTGTCAGCATAGGAAAGTGAATTACCCCCAAACTCCTTTTTTCTCCCTCATAGTTTCTTTTTTCTTTTTTTTTTTAAAGATTTATTTATGCATACAAGAGCTGGGGCACAGGCCAGAGATGCGAGGGGTGAGAGGAGTCACCAGAGACCGTGTGGGGAACAGAACAGGCAGACTGACTGAAATACACTGCTGAGGGGAGCATGGGCGAGCCAGCAGAGGTCTGCTTCGCCATGTGTGTTGCTCCCTGGCCGGCCGGGTATCGAACTCGTGCTGCAGAGGCTTCAGATTGCTTCATAGTGCGGTGTTTAACCCACTGCGCCACCAGGGAGGCCCGTTCCCTATAGTTTCTAAATTTAGGGTGTGAACTGTAATGTTAATGCCGATAAAACTCATAGCTCATGGCAGTTTTACCTGAAAATTTTATTTAAAATTCAATGAGAAATCAGTGTTGCCTCCCTGCCCAACCTCTTGCCATCCTGATGAGGTCTGGTGAGCCTGTTTCTGACTGTGGGATCTCACCAAGCCTTGGTGTCTGGGGTGGTTCTGCCAGACGTGACATATCCCCAGTGATGGCCTTGGTCCTCGCGTTCAGCCCTGAGGGCCTGAGTCTCCCCTGGTATTTAGTTTGCCTTTTCTCTCCCCTAGTCCTTTGCAGTAAGCTGCTCTGCATGCTTTGTGAGGAGGCAGGTGGATGGTGACCAGCAAGTTCTCTAACAGTATCTGCCAACTACATGATTCTATAGCCCATTGTTTTTAATTTTGGAGTGACTACTAATAGGGGGGAAGTATAGCATATGTAAAAAAAAAAAAAGGGAGGTAAATCAATGCCAGAGAGTCCTGTTTCTCTCCTTGGCTTGATGTGCAATGATACATACACCAAAGTCAGGCAGTTTTCATTTTTTCCCTCTTATTTTCACCTTGAGGCCAGCTATATCTTGGAGGCTCCCTGAGGACGTGCAGTTGTCATAGCAGCCCTGGTGTCGGGAGCCCCTCACAGAGGTTCCTAGACTAACCTTTCTGGCTTGTGGGCAGGGAAAGACGTCTAGGTCGGCTTGATACTGAAACCTGTCTCTGCTGTTGCTTAGAGTCCCCTCACAGCTGAGATGTACCCACTGTCATCTTTGTTGTTAGTGTGTTCTTGTGGGTCTTTAAATAACACATTAATGCTGGAGACCTATACCAAGCAGAGTTGGAAAGTGAGGGGGGAGAATTTCTTCAGTGGCCTGAAGGGGTGCTCCACAATAACCTGCAGCTCTGCCTTGATGTCACCCCACAGCCCTGAAGATTTACAGAAAAGGGGTGGGGAGTTTCCCTCAGAGTAAGAACCCATCTCCTAGCAATGAGGTTCCCCCATGGACCCTGATGGCTGGTCATTCTGCTGCTTCTCTGGCTTCCAGAGGTGGAGTTAGCTCTGTCTCTCACTCATGAATCCTGTTCCTGCTCTCCGGAAGGGGAAGATTTTGACTGTTCCCTTCCCCCCAAAATAATGTCAGAGTGGTTTTAAACATGTCTTTGTGAAGGTCTGTCACATAAAATACTTCTGTTCTTTCTCGTTTTGTTAGCTTGCAGAGTCGGATTTGAGTGACAGCGACAAAGCATCTTTAGAGAGTGAGCAAGAGGACAGTGACAAAAAAAAGGCTACCCCTAGAAGAAGCAGATCTAGAAGAAGCAGTATTGGTCTTCGAGTGGCCTTCCAATTCCCCACCAAGAAACCGGCCAGAAAGTCAGATAAAGACAGTTCTGAGCCATTGTTTCCTAGCTCTTGCTTACAGGACAGTAAAAAAACAATTCTTGGAAGAAAGAACTGCAGACTGGGGAAGGAAAGGGAAGATTCTACCTCTGAATCTGAGGATGACTCCAGGGATGAGGGCCAGGAGAGCTCGGATGCCCTGCTGAAGAGGACCATGAACATCAAGGAGAACAAAGCCATGGTGAGGTCATGCAGGCAGACCCCAAGCAGCTAATCAGCTTTGTTTTGGGAATAGAAAAACTTCCTAGGATCCTTTGTAGCCCCTTGCACAGTGCCGTGCTCTCATGCCCGCTCACTGTTGAGTAGGTTAAGGTTTGCATACATAGCGGTCCTAGAATTCTGGACAGTGGCTGCCACTGTCTGGTCCCCAGCAGAAAGAAACATGATGTGAGCAGGATGTTGCAAAGTCCCCTGAGGTTTGCAGTGTATAGGTCAGGCGGGCAGTTTTCAGCCTGGAAACCGTTGTCCTGTGGTGACGGCTGTGGTTTCAAGGCAGCAGCCGAAAGAGGCCTAGGCATTAAAACAACTTGCACAGTTTCAAATCACATTAAGAATGTCTTCATTGTAGTAATGAATGGAACAAGCTGAAATCTTAAGTGGTCAGTAGGTTCTTTGCTTCATAATTGTGTGTGCGTATAATTATCTCAATGAATTTAGCATTTTGGTATATAAGTAACTTCTCTTTAATGTTTTCTTTCAATAAAAAGCACAATAAATAAGTTACTGAAGAACTTATTAAGCCTACACATCTGTGCTTAGCTCAGGGACGTTTAGCACTGTAGCTATCTGCATTTTAAAAATAACATTGTTCTTCATGGTTTTAATGACACCTATACATTTGTCTAAATAGGAAACTTTTAAAAATATAATGCTAGTTTTCCGGTGGGTATACAGCTGCATTACCTGGTACTCGTAGGTGTTACTTTATGAAAATATTCCCACATAATTATTACTGATAAGAAGTTAACCCAAAAAAAACCCTATCAGAATAGTTTAGTTGAACCTTTTATTTACCAAACATGATGGAACTTGATTGAGATAGGCAAAAATACATTCCAGGGCCACACTAATCATGAACCAGTCAGGACTTTGGTTGTCCCGGGAGGCATTTCAGTGTGTCATGTCTATATATATATATATATATATATATAAAAGACATGGGCACCAGTTTTATTCCTGTGGATAACAGCTTCTCACCTGTGGAGAAAAAGATGTCTTGAGGTTACAAGTATAAGCGTACATAAACTAGTGCAGTTAAGTTTCTACTAAAGTTGAAGACTTGTGCTGGGTGTTGGCTGAACTGCTGGTCTTTGGTTAAGCTCCTTTCTTTTGTTCCAAACTTCAGCTTGCTCAGCTATTGGCGGAATTGAACTCAATGCCAGATTTCTTCCCAGTCCGGACCCCGAGCTCAGCTTCTGTAAGTGGAACACCTTATGGTTGTTTATAGCACTACTGATATATAGTCATCAGTTGGCACTTGGCACTCGTTCCCGAAAGTACCCACTTTCCTATGTCTCGCTCTTGCTTTCAGAAGAAGAAAACAGTGAGGCGGGCCTTCTCCGAAGGACAGATCACGCGGCGCATGAACCCGACCCGGAGTGCACGGCCTCCTGAGAAGTTTGCGCTGGAGAACTTCACTGTCTCAGCCACCAAATTTGCAGAGGAGCTTCATGGTTTCCGAAGGAGGAGGACAGTTAGTGGGGTATTTGCTGGCTGTAATAAGCTATTCTTTGTCTAAGCCAGTGGTCCTCAAATTTAGGCACATTATTAGTGCCTCCGGGGCTGGTTCAAAGTACAGAGGTTCTGACCTGGTCAAGCTCACCTGCAGAAGGTGAGAATTCACATTTCTACCGGGCTTCCAGGGCCACCCTCGATGAGCCTCCCTGGTCCAAGCTGTTGACCAGAGTCCTGTAAGCTGAGCTCAGGAGCTACTCAGATGTCAAGAGTCTAGTTTGACCTTTAGTGCCATCAGTAAAACCCGCTTAACAGCTGCAGTTGGCTCCCTAGATTTGGGAAGGTACAGTGACCATTCCAAGCCTTTCTGCTGTAATAACTTCCTGGCAGGAGGGAAAAACTTTGGCTTCTTTACATTTGTGGCTTTTCGGTGTGAGTCACTTCTTTTCCTCTCCTCAGTGTGTGTACCAGGTCACCAGAGAACCTGCATTTCATTGACTGGGCTGTCACCTTGCTAACTGAGCAGGGTTGGCGTGACCTCAGTGAGTGAATGAACGGTGCCAGGGTGATGGCACAGTTAATGTTGATGCTGGAGCTGGCTGGGTTTTTCAATTACAGTATTTTTTTCAACCATGCAAAATACCTCACACTGACTTCTGCTTTGGCTTGTTTTGCAGGGGAAATGCCAGGGGTACAGACGGCGTCGGCGTGTGTCGTCTTTCCGGCCAGTGGAGGATATCACAGAGGAGGACTTAGAGAATGTTGCTATTACTGTTCGAGATAAAATCTATGACAAAGTTCTCGTAAGTTACTTTTATGATCATGACTTATTGGGAGTCCAAGTCACTGGTGGTTGACATCCTGCATGGCTTTCATGCTGTTTGGGGGCTTAGAACAATGCGCCCATCCCTGCAGAGCTGAGAGGCTGCCTCTCAACCGGGGGAGGGTCTCTCTGGGGGACAGCATATTTAGATGTAATCGTATTTTAAATATATTTCAAATACTTGGGGGGGGGAACTATAACCATAGAAAATACTTCAACTCAGATACTGTCAAATAGTGACTTAGGGGATGCCAGGGGGAGCTGTTCCCAGGTCTTCACTGAAGGTCACACTAGAGTCCCATAGTTGACGTAGCTCCTCAGTATGGCTTTGTTTTTTGATAAATACTACCTGGTAGTAGGTATTTTCCGTCAACATTTTAGTAGCCTTAGAGGGGGCCACTCAGGCACCCTGTCTCCCCAGCTCTGTACCCCTCCATCTGGGCGCTTTCGTCAGGTCTCTGAGCCTTCCATTCCTCACAGGCTACTGGTGGGTACATGGCTTGAACCAGGGAAGTGATGCTTCGTGTGCCCATGGACAGCACGTGGGGTTCACCCTGTTCGTCCCTTGTGTGCTCACATCACCTTCTGCTCTTAGGGCAACACTTGCCATCAGTGCCGACAAAAGACCACAGACACCAAGACGGTGTGTCGGAATCAGAGCTGTGGCGGGGTGCGAGGACAGTTCTGTGGGCCGTGCCTGCGGAATCGCTATGGGGAAGACGTGAGATCAGCGCTGCTGGACCCGGTAGGTGCAGCAGACACACTCACACCGGAGTGCTCCCTGGGCCATTCACTGGGGACCTGCAGCTTCACAACTCTCCTGGAAATGAAAATTAGCATTTCCTTCTGGAATGAAAGCAAGCTGCCTAAGAGATTGCATTGTCCAGGCGAATGTGGGTGCCTTTCACTGCTTCAGGTTAAACTGTACTAACACATGTGAAACCTTTAAGTTAAATAGTTTCCTGGCCTCTGAATCCCTCACTTTCCTCTGTAGAATGAGGTAACAGCTTCATGGTTAGTATGACCTTGAAACACTGCTCTCTCTGGGAACTCTTACACAGCAGTTGCTGTATTACCCCTACTATGTAGAGGGCTAGAAGCTGCTACTCAGAAATTCACGCTGAGGGGGCGCAGCGGTTGAGCGCAGTGTTGTGAAGCTCCATAGTGCTGGTTCAATCCTTGCTGGCCAGTAAGGGTCCCACATGGCACAGCAGACCTCTCCTACCTCACCCGCTGCTCCCCTCAGCAGTGTAGTTCATCAGTCTGCCTCGTCTGTTCCCCTCTCTGGTGAATCCTCTCACCCTCCCTCGCATCTGGTCTGTACCCCGTTCTTATATAAATCTTAAAAAAAAAATCCTTCAAAAAAACACACTTGGGGGGCACAGGGTGTGCAACAGGTGAGCTATGCAGTTATACCAGGCCTAATGCTCCTGAAGTCTAAATGCGTAATAGGTATTTTGTCTAAAAGCATTTTTCAGCACCTCTTGTGGGTTGTTGCACAACCAACCTTTCTGGGCCTTCATGTGCTGACAGGAGCAAGATTTTTCAATAGACCTTGTAGGAGAGGCCAGGTTTAATCCAAATACCCTGTGTGGCTAATGGGGTAAATTCCTGCTTCATTTCTCTTCTAGGATTGGATGTGTCCTCCCTGCCGTGGGATCTGCAATTGTAGTTACTGTCGAAAGCGTGATGGCCGTTGTGCCACAGGGATCCTCATCCACCTGGCCAAATTTTACGGTTATAATAACGTTAAGGAATATCTGGAGAGGTAGGTCTTAACCATTCAAAAGTGGCAGCTGTACTTTGGGCCATACAGGCAGAGGTTGCCTCATTTCTAGCTTCTAAATCACCTTCAGTGCCACACAGTCTGTTTACATTGAAAAAGCTCACGGTACAGGCATTTTCCCTATTTGGAAAATCCCTCCTTATTTTAACTGTAAAACTGGAAGGAGCTTACAAGAAAGGTTTAGGGACACCTGCAGGGCCAGAGGCAGCGCTCACCCCACTGAGCAGAGAGGTGTGGGGTGAAGCTTTCCACTGTTAGGACACGCGCAAGAGTTGCTTACCTCCCCATGGGGCAGCGTTTTCCTGCTGGGTGTGCTCTGCTGTGAAAGCAGCGAGGGGTCAGCGCTGACCGAGATCCCAGTTTGGACTAACACTTCTCTTTTCTCAGCTTGCAAAAGCAGCTGGTAGAAGACCGTTAGGAAAAAGGAGCCAGCCACACCAGCAGAGGACTCTCCCGCAGGACGTGCCATAGACCGCTGTGCCTAAGATTTTTCTTATAGTTGTGCTTTCTTATAGACATTCTTTATATATCTAAATGCTGTTTTAAAAAGATTGTTGATATGCTTAAAAAGATTTCTCAGGAAAACACAACAGAGGAATCTGTGTATACACAGAAGTGTTTCTATATTGAGTTGTTAAAAGCATCTGCAGATGGTTAAAACTTAGTGGAGTTAAAGAAGCTCAGGTAAGTTACAGAGAAACATTGTGTAAGCAGCTCTTGCTTCTGTTCCTGATCTTATACTTCCTAAACAGTCACTCTAGGCCAAGTTTTTATAGGGGCTCTATCATTCTTTAGTTGCAATCAATAAGTAGTTTTATATTGAAGAGTCTTAGATGAAAAAGTGCAATTAATCACAGAACTTAAAACTTGAACAAAATGTGGATGTGTTACCGACACTGGAGGCCTTGGAGTGCTGCTGGCCAGCAGGAGCAGCTGCCTGTTTTTTTGCTGCTTCTATGTTTTAAAGGAATGTAAGGGCTTACAATTTTTAATTTAAAAATACTCCATTAAAAATCCCATTTAATGACTAGGAGAAACCTGCTGAGTCTGAATAGGTTTCCAGTATTTTTTTCGTACATTTTCTTGTTTTCAAGAGTGTGTTTTGTTTTTAAATTCACACTTCAGCTGGAGTCTGTTGTGTGCCTCTCAGAGTAAGTTACTGTTCATGAGAACGACGCAATGACATGATGCTCACTGTGTGCTGACGGCGGCCCATCTCACGCTTCCAGCAGCAAAGCCACGCCGGCCAGAACCCACTTGGCTGGCTTCTCTTTGCTTTTCAACCTGAAGGTCCAGACATAGTTGGCACCCCTCATTTTGGTTTTGTACACCGGGCACTCATAGGTGTGTTTGGTTTCCTGCCTGTCCGTGGGGATGGCCTTTGCGAAAATGACTGGCATCATGGACGTCAGCTCCTTGAGGCGGGCTTCAACAATGGTTCCTGACTGGGTATCCCATCTGGCACCTGTGGCCCAAAAAAACACAAGGATTGTGACATGTTGGTAATGAGTCTCCAATTGTTACAGGCAATAAATGTTCTGGTTTTGTGACATTACTGCTTTTCAGTGGCTTCCTTGCTTAGCTGGCTTATGAAATGCACAGGAGGGATTAAGATGGGTGCTGTGAAAAGAGATTAAAGGGAAGGCAAATTTGAACATTTATAGTGTAAGAAGTGCTGGTCACTCATATTGCCTCCCCAGCTAACCTTTTTAAGCGTGACCTTCTGGAATCTGGTTAGAAGTGAAAAAGAGCATCTTGGCAGAGGCTAGGACAGCAGATTTCTTGACGTGTTCTGTAGGATAAGAGGAAAATCCTGCAGAATTAATACATGGCAGATAAATTTGGAAAATACTTTTGCTGCTCCACCTGCCTTGGCTTTTCTTTCAGGCATGGTGACAGTGTAAAATTTCAGAGTAAAGTTACTGACAGTTTTCAAAGGGGTAGAAGGATGATTTTGGAATATATTAAGCAAAATAAGTAGGTTTTAAGTTATACTCGGGCATTAGTACTAGCTACACATGCAAATTTAAGTGACAGCTATCAACTTATATGCTTTAAAATGTGGCGCATATTGAGTAGGGACTGGCATTTGAATTCTTCAAAATAATGAGCATTAGCAGGAGTAAGTAGATGCTGAGAACTGGAATCTGCGTACGGAAGGTCCTGATCCAGAGAGACTGGGGTCTCTTACCTTCCATGAGAAGCCCGTGCAAGTAAGCGCCTTCCCTCGGGGGATGGCCATAATCCTCCTTCGTTTTTTTGGTAACATCAACAGTCAAGCACATTCTATCCAGTGGCCACTCATTTTTTCGAGCCATGGTCTGCATGATCGCTGTGGGAGGAACAGTACAAAATGAAGCTGTACATAGGTCCCACGGGTACACAGCAGCCCTAGGGAGAGAAGCTCTGCCTAAGGCCTGCTGGTCCCCTTCAGTGTTTTAGGCTCTAGAGCATTTGCATGTGGTTGAACTAGAGCAAGGCCTGAAAGACAACCTCCCTGCTTGTATAAATGCAGCTTTATTACAACAGCCACATCTGACTGTGCTGTGCAGGGGGCCGTCTTGGCAAGCGGGACCATTGTGAAAAAAGAGCATTTGGCCCTGTCCAGGTTTGCTAGAGGACACTTGCCTGCTCCCGTGGCCTCTTTCCCTGAATGTTACTTTCCTCTGCAGTTGCTGTTGTCACTCCTGCTCCCTGATCTGCAAAGGGTCTGGCACGAGAACTGGGGGAAAGGCTGGGGGAGTCATAAAGAAAAGCACACAGCATGGGAGCTGCCTTACCAGTTAAGAAGGACTGAGGGTTGAAGAAGCCGGAGAGCCACACCACAGCTGGAAGGGACAGATCTTGTGTCCAAGTGTCGAGTTCTCGACATCGCACAAGGAGGTCATTAAACCTGGTTTAGCGGAAGGTAGGAAGAAATAAACTTGCTTTTTAGAAATAGTTTACAGCAGATGTAGATTCTGGAGAAAGGGTGGTGGGCTTGAGGAGTCCACCACAGATAAAGTGTTACCTGGATGGTCACAGAACATTGTCCCTCTAAAGGTCTACATTTTTTTCCTGTTGGGATGTTAATAGAACTATTACAATTAGGGACAAACACCGGGGAATGAGGAACATTCATGTCCATTCAGTCACTCAGGAGAATAGCAATAGCATATAGATCCTCCCCAGGGGAGGTGGTGAGCGTGCACCGGTGAGCTGTGCACGGTCCGGGCAGGTGCCAACAAGGTCTGTTCAGGGGCCTGTGGGAGCCCACAGCCAACTCCCATGTGGGGGTTGGCGCAAAGGGGGTGTGGGGAAGGCTGTGACAGTGGCCAGAGTTGCCGGGAAAGGGGACAGTGGAGCATGTGACAGTACGTCTTCCCACGTGATTACTACCTGAAAGGGAAAAGGTTATTAAGGGAAATCATGCTCTTACTCCATACTCTGCAGGCTCTAGTTTCAGATGCTGTTTTAAAGCAGGTCCTAATTGGCACCACCGTTGTGCAAGGTGGGATGTATCTGCCATTTACCCTTGAGGAAGCTGACTTCACTGAGGTGAAGGCAAGATGGACTTTGGTAAAATTAGGAGATGTGAGAGGCAGGTTGAGGGGCTGCCGCCAGCAGTGGGGAGACGGAGCACAGAGAGGATGGCCCAATGAAAGGTCAGGAAATCAGGTCTCCAGAGTGGGGGCCACAGGCCGGGCATTGAAGTCCTGCGGGCCCTGGGCTGGCCGGGCATTGCGAGGGAGCAGCGCCCGGCCGCCAGCGCTGCAGCAGGCCGCGGGAGGTGCTTGGCTGACCCGGGGCTGCGAAGGCGAGGCTCTGAAGTGTCCACATGCACTCAAGGACCTGCTAGCGTAGAACACGGGCCTGTGCTCTGCTTCGTATTTTTAAAAATAATTGAGGGAACACATACTCAGAGGTGATAAAAAGGAACAGCAAGGGTAGACACACAATACCTTAAAAATTTGTCCCGCGGGTGAACAATGCTACCACACATTTTGCAACGGGAGATTTATAAATGATGCAGTTACTTCTCCAGACAAGGCTATGGTGCAGGTAAGGTCAAAATGAGGATATTAAGTTGGAAGATAGCAAGTAGAGAAATGATGGGTGCAAAGGGAGACTATTAAAAGCAAATGAAGAGTTAGAGCGTTTGAGTGAAAAGAAAATAGGTACTTTGACACAGACTAACCAAATGCTAATTGGACTACGAAGAGAAAGAACCCTGGACAGCTAAGGGTAAAAACATGAAAATATTTATAAGGGGAAAAAAAAAAAAGCTAGGCTCAGAAACAAGCAGAGAATCACTTATGCCTCACAAGCCCTCTGACCTTTTTTTTATACCTGAACTCATTTAGTGAGTGTGAAGTCAAAAAGACTGTCAGGCATGAAAACCAGCAAATCCAAAAAACAGGTTAATAATCCAGAAAATAAAAATGAGTATTTGATTCCTCTTGAGTATGTTTAAACTTCTAAGGAAAAAAAAAAAAAAAAGGAACAGTATGCTTGAGTGACATGTCACTTCTCTTGCAACACAGCCAGGATAGAGAGACAGACTGAAAATACAGAATTCACATAGATAAATGAAGAGGCGGACAGGGCAGTGGAGAGAATTAGGAGGAAAGATGGCTGATGATTTTTCAGTGGAAGCAACACAGTACAGGTGCCTTTGTAAACATCTGCATCCAAATACAGCAGTGAAAACTGTAAGGATGATATTTCAAACTACCTAGAGAGAGAGAGACATGAAGGAGTAACAAGTGTATCTAAGGACAGATGTGTCAGTGACAGTGCAATACTGGTACTCTGAGAGAAAATTAGTTTACTTACCTAGATGTAGAATTCTAGGATACACTTAAGACTGGGTGCAGTGAGGAGAATTCTGACATGATACCTCTTAACCATGCCCCTCCCCAGACAGCCCTGCTGTATGTTTTATCCTAGTGACTAGAAGGGTTGGAGGTGGGGTAGGCAAAACCCACAAAATGCAACAATAAGTAGAGAAATTGATACATGTTAAAGTAATGACTAAAAATACTGTGGTCTGAAATGAAGTTAGAATGAAATTCCAGTCCAGAGGAGCTGATGTTTGAAGGGAGGCTAAAACGTCTCAAGGAAGGAGTGTTGACTTTATGTTGTGCATGTTACAATAAAGAGACTCCACTAAAGTAATAGTGCCTGTACAGAGATAAACACAGAATAAAGAAAACTAAAACCAATTGCAAACAAATTGGGGAAACCACAAAATAAGAAGATGAAAATAAGCCCAAAGTTAATATTAATACAAATTCTTATTTTTAAATTGGAAATATAAAATCTGACTGAGTGTTGATAGCAATAGCAGGAGTCCACAGCAGGCTCTGCTCACTCCCTGCTGATGTGATTTGCCCCCGTCTGGCATTTGCATATTGCCCCGCCCTGTCCAGTGTGCACCTGGCGCACACCCGAGGGCCTCCAGGCAGTCACTTGGAATTCTAATGGGACCTTCCAGTATCAGGCCCAGGCCCAGAGGAGCTTTCTGTTTCATGAGGAAAGATTCTCTGGGCTGAAGAACCAGGAATAGAGAACAACTCCCCACCTTGTCTCCCATGGCCAAGGAGCGGCTGGAGAAAACTCCAGGCTTGGAGCTGTAAATTCCTGTCCTTGGTTTTGTGATAAATCTGCAGTCATAGGCACACACTGAAAGCTATCTGATTGCTTGCCATATTACTAACTTAAAAGTTGGCTATTTAATAGCTTTAGTAATCGCTGGCTTCAAAGACCAAGGATATAAAATATGATAGCATAAGAGCAAACTCAGGTTACCTTCCATGCCTGTTTAAATCAACTCAGAGAATTCTGTTCAATATTTTCAGATGCTAAGCTGAAGAATTAGATCAGGCAGTTTGTTCAAGATCAAATAGCTAATAAGTGAGGCAGAATTTTTAATCTTTGACCCTTTTAATGATTTCTGCCTTTGAAGTAACACACTAAGGAAACTGAAATGAAGCTGGTGGTAGTTTGCAAACTTAGGTTGAGTGCAGTCACAAAACACGGTCTTCACAGTTCTTACGAGTTACAGTTCAGAAGGCTAAACCAGCACCTCTGCAGATAAACACTGAATGAGCAAGGAACGGGCAGCTTACCACTGGGCCAGGCCATAAGTAGATGGATAGGCCAGCTTGCGCCAAGTATCTGGTACCACATCGTAACTCAACGAGGACTGCTGTGCTTCCATGTTGGGAGATAACGTCAGTTCCCCCTGGTATGGAGAGAAAAGGTCAAATAGTGCCTCTCAGTTGAAGAAGCTTACAGCAGTCCCACTTTTACACTTACCTTCAAACCAAGGTCTAATTGTTGAAGTGACACACGGATTTCCTGAAGGAGAAGATTCATCCTCTCACATTCTTGGAAACAAACAAGGACGTAGGGGTTTCTGTTTGAGGTTTTTTGCATTATATCTGCCATATTGAATTCTTCTGGAAGTTTGTCCAAAATGTCATCCAAGATGTTCTTAACCTTAAATCATTAACACAAATATTTAGATCCTTTATCTCCTTTTTGACCAGTGAACACACACACATTTTAGGTCCTCGGCAACTTGTCCAAGACTGAATAGCCAATAAGAGGCAGAATAGATGCCTATTACTCCCAGGAGGTGGACTGAGTAGTGCTGCCAATTACCCCTACATCAGTGTCACCCCCTCCCCTTCTTTAGGTCCCACAATCCAGTCAGGGAGGAGCTGCTGTTTGTTTGCAGTATATTCATTGTTAGAATTAAAGGAACATAGAAATTCACCAACTACAAGTGGATGTCACCAGAATACTTCTGGTGACTATTCTGCTACTCCCAACTGACTGTCCTAGAATTCTGGGGACAATTTAGATCAACATTTCCAAAACAAAGTCTCTACTATAGTTATTGGCCTAGAGCAATGAAGGCTTTTCTTTGAGGATGTGAATAGGTATAGAGTAAATGTATGTATCAGTGTATCGTCTACGCTGTTTTGCTGAGAAAAATGCCTAAATAAGGACAAGACAAAGTATTGCCTAATTTCAGCCTCAGGCTGCTGTCTGGCATTCCTTAATTTCTCAGACTACTACTTATGGTTGGTTCTGACATGCTCATCAGTTGCTTTAGCACCCTGGCAAGTAATCTGTCAGGTCCTGGAATCTTAAACTCATTTACAGCAGTGACAATATGAAACACAATGTGGAAGAGGAATTAGCCTAAAAAATAACTTCAGAATTAGCTAGAATTTGGTTTCCTCATTGACCCTTTCTAGTCGTCTGGCTTTGGCAAGTCACCTAAACCGCTATCTGCAGTAGGGATCCTGATACTCCTCAGCTATTGAGGAGTAAGTGGCGGACCTGTAAAGTGCTGGTGCCTAGCAGAAAGCACCCAGTAGGTGGTGTGGTTACAATCTGTTTGCCCATCTGTGGTGTGGAAGCATTTACCTCATTTGTTTTGCAAGTTCTGCTTTAACCATGAGCTTCCTTGGAAAGATTGAAGCCTAAAATCTAGGTGAGCACCTCTCTGCTTCTGTAAACACTTCAGTTTTTCCCAAATGAGTGAACTTTTCCTTCCTTAAAATTCTACATTCATATAGGTAAGATATCTACAGAATAAAGTACACGGCAAAGTCCTAAAGCTTCTGTAATACAAACAAATGTCTTAAACAGTCTTATCTCAAAAA